GTGATGCGCATCAGCAAGAATGTGTTGGCGCAAGTACTAGAGGCTCCAAACGAGGGGAAGATAATCCATTCTTACACTTCTTGGAATGAAACTCATTCACGAGAACCAAGCAAATCCAGACGGTATGTGGTCTTGATGAAGAGGAAGATGCTTAGGGTTGCTTGAGGCCAACGAGTAACCACCTGACAGTTCAAGCCAGAGTTCTTCACCACATGCTTTCCTACAACATTCTGCCAAAGGGTGGACATCAGGAGACAGTTACCTACTTCGACATGGAGCTAGCCCCTCACCAACCTATTGTTAGACGAGAAGGTAAACTTGCCATGCTTGATCTTTAACCACATGCTTACTGCTGCAGAGAGTTCAAACAAGAATCTACCCTATGGGATGATCCTCACTTTGCTGTTTGAGCATTTTAATGTGAATTAAGTGGTGAGGTGTGGTTAAGAATCTCAAGGCAGGTGTTCTATACAGTTTCATGTCTAAAAAAGATTGGCTTTGAGCTGCGTAATGGTGAGTATGTCCGAATAAACAATGCTCATGGTTCCCATGGTGGTGATGATCAATGCAGTTAAAAGCGTGATTCTACCTAGAAGCGGAAAATGGGTAAAATCGTAAAACGTAGAATCAAAGCGTAAAAGCGTAAGTTTTTGACGCACCCTCTAAAATAGCTAAAATATGTTAAGTACAATATATAGTATGTAAAATGTGAGTGTGTAGATTTTAGATAAGTGAATAACTACATGAAATTCATAATTAAAATGAAATATCAAACACATAAACTAATTTGTGTTGACTCAAAAGTAGAGAAAACTCATAACATCTTAATAATAAGCTCATAAACGTAGATCGTAACCCATAAACGAGCTTGAGAATCCAAATTCTCATAAGCTGGTTTGATTTTACATAATTACATACGATCAATTACCCATAAAATTTTATCGTAACCCAGGTAAGAGCCACAGGTGAAGATTAAGGGAGAAGACTGATAGAAGGTCATTGGCTGATGAAAATACCAGAAGGTGTCTTTTCAACCTAATGTGAAGCCCCTATCTCGACACTAGTTGTAGAACGAGTGATGAATCATGTTTTCCTTTTTTTATTTTTTTGCTGATATGTCTCCAAAATTACATCATTTTGGGCCAATTAGCACATTTTTATGTGATGAACAAAATCGTATAAAAACGCTTCAGAATCGCGATTTTACCGATTTTAAGCGATTTTACCGATTTTACCCATGTTTTTACCATTTTTGTGACTAAGCAATTTTAGGTAGAAACTGAAACGTTTTGGTGGTCTGGATACGTAAAAACGTAATTTTTTACGTTTTAATGCGCGATTTTGACAACACTGGTGATGATGATGATGGTGATGATGATGAAGGAGTCAGAGATGAGCCTAGGCTTGGCAGGCCGGGGCCCAAAAGCGGGTATCCGCCCGAAGCCCGCCCGATAAGGGCCTTGAATGGTTGAATTTTTGGGCCCGTCAACGGGTGGCGGTTAACCCGTTATCCGTCAACAGTGGGTTTCGGGCGGTGGTGGTTCGTCCAGTATCCGCCCCGCGACCCGACCGACGGGTTACCCGTGCAGAATACGACGCCGTTTGGAAGGGAGTATATATTCTCCACTTTCCCCTTGAGAAACCCTAGCTGCCGCCTCACTTTTCATTCTTCACAAAAAAGCGGAAACCCTAGTTTCCTTCTTCCTCTCAATCTCTCTGCCTCCTCTGTAGCGATTAGGGATCAGATCGCTAGATAATCGCGATCTGGCCGATTTTTCGCCATTCCCCCTCATCAATTGCTCCATTCGACCAATTGCATGGCTGGAAGAGGCGAAGAGCAACCATCCGACGAAGATTTCGTCGGCCGCAGTCCCAAAACGAGGCGTTCGAAGTTCAAATCGCGGATTCTTCGAGTCGAAAAGATAAGTTAATTCTGGTTTGCTTTCTTTTCTTTCACCTATCTTCCCTGATTCCCCGTTCCCCCAACTCTATACTAACTCTTCTTGTACTGGTATCTATAGGGGGGATTCAGAGCGGAGTGGTCGTTTCTCACCACGCCATCTTCTGAAATCGAGAACAAGACGACCCCAGTCGAGTCCACAGAGAGTGAGAGAGCAGAGATCGAGGGATTTAGCCGAGCCTCCAGAGTCCAGACAAAGTCCAGTCATCGAGGGTAAGTTGCTTGGTCTCTCGTGTATACTTTTTATTAATTTATGGGTTAGTGGTGTCAATACAGACATGCATGCATTCATTTGCAGTTCTAACTTCTAAGTTCTAACTTTCTTTGTTTTCGTTGTAATTGTTCACTCTTGTTTGGCCTAGGTTGGATCTGGTTTCGAGAACTTAAGTGGAACAAAGTCCAGTCATCGAGGGTAAGTTGCTTGGTCTCTCGTCTATACTTTTTATTAATTTATGGGTTAGTGGTGTCAATACAGACATGCATGCATTCATTTGCAGAATTGCAGTTCTAACTTCTAAGTTCTAACTTGCTTTGTGTTTGTTGTAATTGTTTGGCCTAGGTTGGATCTGGTATCGAGAACTGAAGTGGAACAGAGTCAGTGAGCACTTCAGTGAGCAGTGAGGGTCAGTCTACTGTCATTGGGTACTCGACAGTCCACATAAAAACTACAATCGAGAAGGTACTCTCATCCTCCTCTCCTAAGCCTCAATTCACTGTGTTGTCTGTTTGATTATAATGATGCGACTTGTTGTGACAATCAGTGGATAAGTAATGCTAATAAGTAAAATTAATGAAACTGTAATCGTGATTTTGATGCTAAAGATTTTTGTTTGCAAGTGTAGTCTTGTCATTGTGAAATGTGAATGTAACTAAGTTAATAAATAATAACTAAGGCTTAACTGCTTAAGTAGTAATACATAAATTTTTTATGTTCAGATGGAAGGTGCTCCAACTGCTATAAATGTTGATCTTGCTCCCAATGTCAATGTCCCTGAACAACCTGTCCAACCTGAACAACCTGTCCAACCTCAACCTGAACAACCTGGTAATGTTGAGGAGCTTGAAGCTCAACGTAAGTTAACCTCTGATGTGTGGCCTCACTTCAACCGAGTTAGGGTTAATGGGGTTATGAAGGCTAGGTGAAAGTACTGTCGTAAATCCCTTGGTGGGGAAACAAGTAATGGAACTTCACACCTAAGAAGCCATATCAAAACATGTATCCAAAAGAGGATACATGATGGTTCTCAAAAAATACTTGGCCCTAACTATAAACCTGCTGGAAATCCTCAACTCTCTGCTTCTCAATACAATTATGAGGTTTCTAGGAAGGAACTTTGTTCAATGATTCTGGTCCATGAGTACCCCCTTAGCCTTGTTGATCATGTGGGTTTCAAACGTTTTTGCTGTTCTCTTCAACCTCAATTCGCTGTTCCTAGTAGAAACACTGTCAAAAAGGACATTTTGAGTTTGTTTGGTGTTGAAAGAGGTAAATATCAGACCATTATTGATGGTAATCTGGGGAGGGTTTCTGTTACAACTGATTTGTGGACTGCCAGCAATCAGAAAAGGGGTTATATGGCAGTAACTGGTCACTTCATTGATAATTCTTGGAAGCTGCGTAACATAATGCTGAGATTTATGTATGTTCCAGACCCTCACACTAGTGAAAGGCTTGCTGATAGGTTGTTTGATTGTCTTTTGGATTGGAACATTGATGGTAAGTTGTCCTCAATCACATTGGACAACTGTACCACCAATGATTCCATGATTTTCCACATGAGAAATAAGCTTCTGAGCAGTGACTTGTTGCTTGATGGTAAATTAGTTCATATGAGGTGTTCTGCTCATATTCTGAATTTGATTGTAAGGGATGGTTTGGATGCAATCAAGGATGCTATAAATTTGATTAGGGAGAGTGTAGTTTACTGGAATTCTACACCTAAGAGGGTTCAAACCTTCTTCGAAGTTGCTAAGCAACTTAAGCTGTCTGTTGAGAGAAAATTAGTCCTTGATTGTCCAACTAGGTGGAATTCCACCTATCATATGCTCTCTGTTGCTATTCCCTACAAGGATGTGTTCTTTTGTTTGAGTTTGAGAGACAATCATTACACATCAGTTCCTTCTAGTGAACAATGGGAATTTGCTTCTACTGTGATTGGGAAGCTGGAAATCTTTTCTGAGATTACTGAGTTGTTCTCTGGTTCCAAATATCCCACTGCCAATCTGTTTTTCCCCAAGATTTGTGATCTCAGACTTAAACTGAATGAGTGGGGTGTTGATCCCAATCCTGTGATATTTGGAATGGCTAGTCAAATGTCCATGAAGTTTGATAAGTATTGGGATGATATACATCTTGTGCTTGCTGTATCGGTTGTTTTGGATCCTAGATATAAACTCCATGTGATTGAATACTATGCTGGAAAGTTTGGGAATACAGAAACTGATTTGGTTGCTGAGAATATCAAGCAAATGATATGTGGTTTGATTCGTGATTATCAAACCAAAGCTGAGAACAAATCTGGTTCTGAAACTGGAACTTCTTCTGGTTCTGGATCTGCCTCTGCCACTGAACTTGACTTTGAACTCTTTGTAAGTCAAAGGAAAAAGAGTAAGACTTCCTTGATTACAACTGAGTTGGATATGTATCTTGCTGAGGATATCATTCCTCGCACATCAGAGTTTGATCTGCTCTTGTGGTTGAAATTGAATGGTTTGAAGTATCCCACCTTGCAATCAATTGCAAGGGACTTTCTGGCAATCCCTATTACTTCTGTGCCTTCTGAGAGTGCATTTAGTTCTGGTGGGAGGTTGTTAGACCCTCACCGGAGCAGGCTGCATTATTCGACTGTTGAGACAATGATGTGTACTAGGAGTTGGATAATGGAGGACATGCAACGAGGTAACATGCAACTAAAACTCTCAAATTTATTGTTTTACGTTTAACAACAGTATGTACTCATTGAACTGGTTCTCTGCAGATTCGGAGGCTGCTGTGGAGGCATTGGATGGACTCTTCTCAACAATGACAGTCGAAGATACAACTGTGGAAGAGGCAGAACCTGGTGGTAAGATCAATAGATCATTTATCCATAATTCCATTGTGTGTTCTAATTTAATTGTTCATTTAGGAATACTTACCTTTGCATTGTTTCCCTTTTTCAGATCCAGAACTCACCTTAATGAGGTCACCATTTGCCCATGAAGACTGATTGGTAATCTGCTGTGGGACCAAGGTAAAGGTCTTCTTTATTTGTTGTCGTTGATGCAGACGTGTTATTCATTGGACATTTACTAACTGATTCATTCCTCTTGTATGTTCTTTACACAGTTTCAATTGATGTCTGCTAGACTGCTGGTTTACATCGATTGGAATGAGGGTCAGGGGTGGTCGGGTGGATGATTGCAGATTGCTCAATGATTCGATGTTGCTGGAACCTAGATGGAATGTTGCTGCGCTGCTGTTGCTTGGAACACATTTCATTCTACAGTTTTTTCTTAAGAATTAGACATTTAGAATTCAGAGTCTGCTGATACTTGTTGGTTGTTTGGTTATTTGATAATTTCTATCAGTGATACACGAAATAAATGTTTGTTTTTGGTTGTTGTTGCTGAGCTGCTGGTGTAGTGGCAACAATTGTAGCTTGGCAAGCTTTTTGTTTTTCATTTCAAGTCCTTTTGAGTCTTTGACAGATCAGTTATTAATAATACAGTGAGAAGAGTCCAGTTTTCCAGAATATTTTCAATTTTTTGTTCATGTTTTAGCGGGTACAATGGACCCGCGGGCACCCGAATACCCATTGGGTTTTGGGATGGTTGCCCAACATGGCCCGAATGTCCGTTTGGGCCGGGGACGGGGATACCCGAGGCCCATGGTGGGTGGGCAACGGATCCGGGGTACCCGGCCCCGATCCGCCCCGTTGCCATCTCTAGATGAGCCAATGCCGCAGGCACAAAGTTCAACTCCACCGATCACCTTAGAGCGTGTGTGGGAGCACATGGATGGCATGTACGACTACATGGGGCAAATGACCATCTAGATGAGCACAATGCAGGTGACCGTGAATGAGATGCGAGATGAGTGGCGATCTTTCAGGTGAGTAGGAACTCGAAGATTTTAGATTGTGTGTTTTTATTGTTAAGTGGTCAAAACGATTGTTGATTGATATTTTGTTGTTTTAGTTTTTTTTTTTTAAGTGTGAACAATTATGATTTTTGTTTTAATGTATTTCTTGTAAGTTTGTTTAGTTGTTGTGCTATGAATTGATGAGTTCTTGTTATCATTATTTATGACTATTTATGATGGTTTGAAACATAATTTATACGAGCAAAAGAACCACACAAATCGACATACATAACCAAAAAAGACACGGGGCATAGGTTGACTTTCTTGTAATCGGTCGACCTCATACCAGATTAGGTCGACCTTGAAACCAACACTTGATCTTCATTTTACGTCAAATGATTGGACACATTGATAGAACACTTGTCTTCTATCTGGTCGACCTATATACCTTTTTGGTCGACCATGTTGTTTCTGACGCCAACGAAATTGTCGACCTAGGTTTTATTCTGGTCGACCAAAAGTAACAACTTAAACTAAGTGCGGTCGACCAGGTGGTCGTTGAGGTCGACCCCAATGCTTTCTCGTGCTGTTCAAATTAGTCAATTCGGTCGACCGCCTTCAGGATTAGGTCGACCGAAAAGTCCATGTCATGGTGACATGCATGTCATAGTAGGCATACCCTAAGTTTAGGTTGTACCATAAAGCAATTTGTATCATTATGTTATGGTAAAACTTTACAACTTGAAGTTGTACCATCACATAAAGGTACAAGTTCAAGTTGTACCATAAAAGAATTTGTATCAAAAGTATAGGTACAATCTGAAGTTATATCATAACGTAAATGTACAATTTTAAGTTGTACCATAAAGGCAAAAACCTATAGCACCAATACTATATAGCATTGTAAAATTTCTCGTATATATACACTTGCTTAATCCTCCATTTACATCTAACTATTCACTAGCCGTTAAACTAACTTTCTAACTAACTAATGAATGCCATACACGTGGCTAATTACACAGTGAAACTTGAAACCAACGAATCACTACAAAACGGTGCGTTGCTTCTCTTCTTTCCTCTATTGCCTTTGAAGGACGTCGTAGCCTTCTTCCTTTGCATCTGTATTTCTTCGTTTCCAGGCTAACTCTGCATCATCTTCCTTGAGGTCAGCAACTAGTCTAGGAGCTGCATCATGGTTGTTCAAGCTCCTTTTCACTGCTGTTCGAGCTCGTTCTTGTGCCCATCAGCTTCGAGAGCCCACCCGTCGGGCTTTTCTCATGGACGACATGCACCTTTGAAGCATCGACGACTCCGCCCCAAAAAATCCAGAAATCATGTCTCGAAGATGATGAGAGTATGGGCGAGGGTTTTGTGGTGGTTAAGAAGAAGGAGATTGAGTGGTCGTCAATGTGGATTGCGCCGGATTTGGATCGAGATTGAATGGAGAGAAGGGTGGCGGTGATGATTGTGTGCAGAGGAAGAAGAGGAGAAAAATGGGGAGGTTTGGGGAGATTGAGTTTCACCCGTCAGATATTTTTACCTTTTCTTTTATTTTCTTTTATCCCTTAAAAACTAATCAAACAAGTTTGAATTTCATTTTTGTTAATGTTTATTTTTTATACAATCATTTTTCAGATTCTATTATGTTATCCAAACCTATCGAAATTTTAAGAATTAGCCAAATGTTAATTTTCAGTTAGCAATTTTGTTAGTAATATTGACCTTGCAACATGATACTGACTTGACAGAGACACATGAAAGTCAACATTGCAAAATTTTAGTATTTTAACTAAGAAAACAGGTACAAAATTATTAACGATAACGTAAAAATGGCTAAAGTTTTGATGCATTACGAAAGATTTGGCTAATTTATAGCATTTTAATATGTTTTGATAATATAAAAGAATCCGAAAAAAGTTTGGATAAAAAACAGACATTACCCTTTATTTTTCTTAGAGTCCACCTAAGTGCTTATGTGGCGTTGACTGGGATTTTCGTAAGAAACTAACGGCAAAATCAACGGAGGTTGCACAAATGTCATATCGAAACTTACATATTATAAATGACACTTTCGCTAAAGATTGGTATTTCTAATGGTATTAGCTCTACATAATAAATAAATTATCACGTCTTAACAAGCATCATAGGAATGAGAATTCCTCGTCGCTTCCATCTTCAACACATTGGAGGTACATTTTCCGTACTATGTTCATCTTACTTTGAACATATCCTTTGCATTCAAATTTGCAACCATTCCGACTTAGATAGACTTAACTCATAAGTCCCCACTAGCCATGGTTATAGGTTTTACACACCTATGGTTGTTCATATTTTTCTAACTTTGATAGCTTTCTATCATCCAAACCATCTTCCAATCCACAAAGGATATCTTGGATTTGATCAATTCATAATTTGTGGAACACATTAGCATATAGAGGTATAGGTTCTTTTATCCTCTTATAATCACATTAAATGAAAATATGCTCAAATTAAATTGACACAATCATCATTCATTCATGCCACATGCATGAATTGGTCAAATGCGATGAACACATTTAAACTTGGTGGTTGACCTTGAAAACATATTGTAGAAAATACGAACATATGATCATTTCATTATGTAAATATGTAATTTACATAAGTACGTCATCATTGATCAAATTCTATGTCACAGGAATGCTTCTCACCATAATGTATCAATTTAGTACAAGGTCACAACACAAACAATTTCATTACATGAATCAAAGTGTTATATTTTCCAAGTATTTCGAATTGATACTTTACAAATTTTATAAAATTTTGTTTCCAAGAATTCTAACATGAATTCTTTTGAATTCCATTAAATTGAATTCTCTCATGAACTTTTCTAATAATATAAATTATGAGTTAAGTTTCATTTCAAATACTACAATAGTATTTGATCTCACTAACCCAACCGAGTTGGTTCAAGAATCACCCATTGATTCTTAATCATTATTAATTTATTTCAAACCATGTTATACATGATCAACACGGGAAGGACAACCACCTTGGTTCACATATATAAGCAGTAATCTACACTACTTATAATACATTTTAAAGAGTTTGATTTGCTCCATTTCAAATTCCCTGCAACGAGAGTGAAAGTAGGAAGGGAATTTTCGTCTACACAATCAATTTTTTATTTCATATAAAAAGATATCAATGCTAGGATTTGAACCAAGGTCTCTTCCACAAAAGACAAGAATTGTAACTAATTAGACTAGACACATTTGTTGTACTTTATTAATACAAAACATAGAGGAAGTTAAAATTATGAAAAACAAAGTACTTTTCTATCACGGTTAGTTAGCCCGCTAAGTCTACTATAAGTATTTTGTGGTGTTTGATACTTATATTTTCATATTTTAATAATTAATTTAGAATTTTTCTAACTTATAAATGAAGGATAATCTTAAAATCTCAACACAAATATCATTGGTTTGAATATTGCGCATTGAATTGAAGTGTTGAATGAAGTGTTCAATGATGACATAAGAACACTGGAGATTGAAGCAAATATTGTTGTACTTAGTCTAGCGGAGAAGTGAGTGTGTGTTGTGTTGTAGATTGTGGTTTCGATACCCATTAGCAGCACAAGTTCTTGATTTTTGCCTTATCAGATTAATTTTTGCGCAAAAATTCAGTACAATCACCTAACATTCATACTTTAATTTCAAATTAGGTAAAATAAATTCATCAACCTATACATTATATCTTCAAATATAACTATAGGTGTCAAAACATGACCCGACCCGAGTAACCCGCCCAACCAACCCGATCTGCGACCCGCCCGCAACCCGATTAGACTAAAAGTCAAAGACCGGCAACCCGCCCGACCCGTAACCCGCTTGACCCGCAACCCGCTTGACCTGCAACCCGCTTGACCCGAACCCGATTGACCCGCAACCCGCTTGACCCGTAACCCTACTAACCCGAACCCGATTAACCCAACCCGAACCCACCCGATTGGCACGAATAATACTACATAATATATTTTTGTGCATAAATATTATATGTAGATAATATATATATAAAGTTTATGTGACTTGCCCTATTATTTTTTCATCTTTCCCACCAAGAACAAAGGTTTACTTTGTGTTGACAAATAAAAACTGTCATTTAATTGAATCACATAATAGTCTCACTGTCTCGGTAGATAAGTAGAAATCCTAGAAGGTTTGTCAACATTTTTTACATTTGGTTGATGTATATAAATAATATATATAGATAACACATACATATGAAAAAACATGATTGGCTTAATTAAGCCAATCATATATCAGTACGTTATAATTACAAGTAACAATAGGTTCGAATTTTAAAAAAAAAATTCCGTGGACTAGTTGGCTTCTATGATGGACTTTCCAATTCAAGGTACATGGTTCAAAGCCTTGTAGAGGTATATTTGTTTTACATTTTTATTTTAACTGAATTTTAAAATAAAAAGTTAGATTGTAGTTAGATTGTAATTAATGGTTCACAACTTAGTAAGTGAGTGTCTTAAAATTTATTTTATGTCAACGTATACATAAAATTCACTTAATGTATAGCATAGTTAGTAAAATACGGTACGGAAAAGTTACGTATAAAATACTTACGGGTATTATACTTTTCTCTTAGTTTATGTTACGTTTAATAGTACGTTAATAGTTATATACGGTAGTGGAAATATGATTTATAAGGTATACGGTAGTGGACTCGTGTTATTAAACGTGTTATTAAACGGAGTATTTACTAACTATTATTTATAAGGTATACGGTAGTCGACTCGTGGTTTATAGTTCGGAAGATTAGGATTTAGGACGTATGTTCTTCTCAATAACTGAATACAAAATTGACTTAACTAACATTCTTCACATATCATACGTTATAATTTATACTTTATACCAACAATTTCATAACACATAACTATAGTTCATGGTTTAAGGTTAGTGTATAGGGTATACGGTAGTGGACTCGTGGTTTAGAGTTTGGAGTCATAAGACGTATGTTCTTCTCAATAACCAAATATAAAATTGACTCAACTTACATTCTTCACATAACATACGTTATAGCTTATACTAACAATTTCATAACATATAACTATAGTATAGGGTATAGGGTTAGGGTTAGGGTATAGGGTTAGGGTTTAGGGTTTATTCATGGTTATGCTTTATGTTGGATATTTTGATTTTTATAGTTTATTAATTAATTTGATTTTAACAATTAGTTTAACTTGTGAATGTACATCTTAAATATATCATATTCAAATGACATTCCGACCAACGAATCGAACAACAAACTAGTTAATCGGTATAAAATTTATCATCTATAATAATAAATATCAAAGAAAGGAAGAACTAGATGTTTATGGAAATTTTTTGAATGCAAAATTCAAACCCCCCCCCCCCCCCCCCCCCCCCCCCCCGCCGCCCCCACCCAAATATTTGCTCAAAAATTCCCTTGCAAACCCATTTTTTTTAAAAAATCCCTCCCATAAACCCCCTTCCCCCAATATTTGATCAAAAATTGAAAATTCCCTCCCACCTCCCCCAAAATTTGATCCAAATTTGAAATTCCCCCCATCCCAACCCAACCTAATTTTCCGTGAAAAAAAGTATTATTAACAATATATATTTTTTTCTACGGTTAAAAATATCTATCTTCTATCGATAAAAAAAAACGAAAGAAAGAAAGGAAACACAAAAATCTCGGCCACTTTCCCTTTCCCTTTCCCTTTCCCTTATCCATTCTGTGCCTCTCTCTCAATACTCAATCGGAAAAAAAACCCCTTCCCTTCTCCTTCTCCTTCCCCTCCGCCGCCCAGTTGTCGTCGCCGTTGTTGTTATTGACGGAAGCAGAGGAAAAAAAACCCTCCCTTCTCCTTCTCCTTCCCCTCCGCCGCCTAGTTGTCGCCACCGTTGTTGTTATTGATGGAAGCAGAGGAAAAAAACCCTCCCTTCTCCTTCTCCTTCCCCTCCGCCGCCTAGTTGTCGTCGCCGTTGTTGTTATTGACGGAAGCAGAGGAAGCGGAAGCAGCCCAAGATTTTCCTCAGGTAGACTTTTCGCTTTTACTTTGTTTGTATTCTGCTTCATTCGTCAGAGTTTTGGTACTTGGTTATTTTGGGGATTCCAAATTTTTGCTTTGTTTTACAGCTCTAAGAAGACTGGGAAAGGGAAGAGGCCTGGGAAGGGCGGGAACCGCTTCTGGAAGAGCATTCGCTTGGGGTTTAAGACTCCGAGAGAAGCAATTGAAGGTCTGTTTATGCTCTCTTTACCATTTTTGGCTGCTTATACGGTTAAACTCTTTAGGGATTTGATGCTTGTGAAATGCAATTCCATCTCAAATTTGGAAGAAGGCCACTAAAATCTTCTCTTAGCGACGTAGCCTGTCCATCAAAGTATCTCAACTCTGGCAAATTTGAGAAGTGTTCACTTTCAAGACCCAGAATAGAGTTCACTCTAATGGCTTTAACTTGGCATGTCCCCTGTTAAAAAGAAAAAAACAAGCCAATAATCGTAACTAGAAGCTTGTATATGCTTATTGGCATTGATTCTAAATTAAGTGGAAGTTACCTTCTTGTTAAGTAATAAATCCCTAGCTACACTAGTGCGACTATCGTACCACTTAACCCATGTACTTTTGCTCTGGTTATGGACTTTTCTGTAGATTCGATTGAAGGCAAACTGACTTACATTTTATTGATTGAGAAAACCACAAAATATATACAGTCCCAAGCTTTTGCTAAGCTGTAAACTCGCCTCTCAAACCTCCATCCACTAACCCACGTCCTGAAAATCAGCAACCCCTCTAACCACTATTGACCCCTGCTGTAGAACTACAACTAAATGACTCCAAACAAATCTATCCTTTAAATCCAGCTCTAAGAAACCACTAAACGACTCAGCAGCAACTTAATATCTTGACTCAAAATGACACACAATCCTAAGGACACTAACTTATTTCAACATTTTGTCTGCGACTGCAACCGATCTTTTTGTTCACTTCTGTGTTGTTGTGCTCTCTGTTGCGTACCCAATCATAACAAAATACAAGGAATTGGATGTGTAAGGGCTTAGGGGAATTGGATGCGTACCCAATCTGAAGTACAACTATAACATGGATGTTAATCTACATGTATGCATTAGTATCTTTAGTGAATTCTGTCTTGCAATCCCTAGTTTGATTCGCTTGATGTCCAGTATTTCTATACTGATTTTTCAACTCCATTCACTTATTGTTCAGTGTTTCAACATTTTATAAACTTGTGGGGATCGTTTGGTTTCAACTACATGGACAGGGTGGTTAGAACTTAGAAGTTAGGACTTAGAAGTTCATTGTTAGGCTTGCTGTGAGCTGTAGCATTTTCGTTAGTGAGGGTTTCTCAATTATGGGAAAAGAGATAGAATTATTGGTAGTGGTTCTTTGCCAATACAATTGTCAAGAGTGCCAACTGTGTGCAGACCCTCTCAAATTAAAAACCTGCATCCAGATCACCCCTAGATGAAATTTCAGCCGTCATGTTATTGTGTTTGTTGTTTGAATGATTATGTAATTTTTTTTTTCGTTTCTTTTTTCCAGAAGCAATGGACGCCAAGGCTAGAAGAAGCAAAATTTGGGATAATTTCACTCAAGTTGAATCAGAGGGGGAGGTCAAGCTTCAATGCAACCATTGCATGAAGGTTTTTGGATGCTATCCTAATAAGAATGGGACAGTTTCACTGTCGAGGCATCTTAAGATGTGCAGTAAGAGAAATCTTCAAGATTAATGGAGCCTTATGTACTTTTCTGTATTTCATTCTATTATATTTGCTTAAACATCATGTAATGGTCTTAACTATCATGACTCAAGAGATTGTTTGATAGGTTTATGATCAAACAAGTTATCAGCTTTTTAATTTCTTATATTGGTTCTGTAACCTTAATGAATCATCTGCAAAATCAAACTTGTTTATGATATATTCAATCAAAATCTAGTCACTCATTTGTGTAATAATGTATCTTCATGTTTTTTTCATTGCAATATGGTGATCGGTGAGTTTGTTTTAAATTAGTGTAGTAACTAATTATAAAAAAACTCGATGGTTTGGACCAAACAACCCGCAACCCGACCTGTTGTAACCCGCAATCCGATCAACCCGAACCCGATTGAACCGCAACCCATAACCCGATTGATCCGCAACCCGATCAACCCACAACCCGATCAACTCGCAACCCGATCAACCCGCAACCCGATCAACCCGAACCCGCTTGACCCGCAACCTGCTTGACCCGCAACCCGACTGAACCCGACCCGAACCCGCCCGATTGACACCTATAAATATAACTATGGATATGTAACAAATTAATTATTTTTTCTCGTTATTCAGAGACATTTATTTGTTACTTATAATAACTAAAGAACATGGTTCAAATAAAAAAATGATGATTATTTTTTGTTGAAAATTTATTTAATAATACCGAACATATTGTTGCTAATTTTTTTAATTTAAATCATAATTGTATTGCTAATAATTATCTTAAATAATAATTTGTAATATGACATTTATATTTTTCTATTTTTTATTTTTTATGATAATTACGTACTGAAAAAAATTTCTGCCCCCCAAACTCCAAATCCTAGCTCCGTCCCTGGTTTTTTTCCATTGAGAAGTTTATATCCTTGTATAAATTGCTTTACGAATTTGGTTTAAAAAAAATGATCAGTTTGTTGATTGAGTAACCGTCGTCTGAAAAGGCCTCGGTTCATGTTTGTGATCGTATAAACCTGGACACATATGTTATATTTATAATGTATGCTGTTTGAATGTGTGTTTGGCACCAATCGATTTGGCTGGAAATGCATGTTGGTCTCTATGAAATCCATTTTGGTTGTTAGTGCAATAGTAACCAGGGTATTATTTTTCTCGTTTAATCACTGTAAGTGATCATTATTATTGTCGTGGTTAACTGATATATGGCCATACATGCACAAAACGTGTACTGTCCAGACTTGGCAATGAATGCTTCTTTTGTTCCTTGCAAGTTGCAACTTTCATTTAAAGAGTCTGGTTAATTGAACAATGATCTTCCATACCTTGAATTGTGATTTGGTATGTTATTAATCATTACATGTCACCATGCATACCTTGAACTCTCCAGAAGTTTTCATGATTGGTTCTGTGGTTAACCAAATTGTTATCAAAGGGAACATGTTTGTTGCCGAACATGAAAAATAATTCTCTACATGTTCACTTTGTTGATTCGTGCATAATTTGATTATGTATATGTTCATTGTGCACTTTGTGTGCGAGGTATTATGAATCAATTCGGTTTGATTGGTTATTTCATATACTTTTATAGTATTTGAGATGTGAACAAACTCATAATTCGCATTATGTTAACAGTTCATGGAAAATTCAATTTGGTTGAATTTAAAAAAAATCCTCTTGGAATTCTTGAAAACAAATTTGATAAAATTTGTGTGTTTCAATTTGGAGCACTTGAAAGTTGCAACACTTTGGTTTATTAACCAAATTGTTTGGAGTAAATTGAAATAATATAGTGGAAAGTGCTTCCAAGTCACGAAGTTTGATCCATGGTGATGTATTTATGTTAACTGTGTAATTACATAATGATAAGTACAAGGTTCATATTTCCTAAGTAGGAAATCAGTTGGATAAAGCTATTACAAGCTTGTTGGATTCCAAAGTCAACCACAAAATTTTAATGCGTTCATCGCATTAGACCAATTCATTTATGTGGCATGGATGAATGATAATTATGCGAATTTAATTTATACACTTTTTTCATTCAAAGTGATGCATGAGAGGATGGACGATCTTATGATAGACCTTCATAGACTATAAGTAAAGGTGGTTTGGATAGTAAACTTTCTAGTGGGAAAATATGAATATTCATATGTGAGTGAAACCTATGACGAGTGGTTAGTAGGGACTTGTGTGTCAAGTCTATCTAAGCCAGAATGGTTGCAAAAGTTATGTTCAAAGTAAGTTGAACATAGTTATGAAAGAGTACATCTCCAATATGTTGGAGATGAAATTTGGTTTATGCACGTTTAAAGGTTTGCATTACGAGAAAGCCATAAGTGATAAGAAATATTCTAATTCCTAAGATGTTTGTAAAGACATGATAATTTGTTTATTATGTATGTGGTTTAGGACTTGATATTTCCTATACCATGAGGGCAAGGAAAATGAAGCTATGATTGATCCTTATAGGGATTTAATAAGCTTTCCAAATGATGGTCATTATCAAGATAAGCATTAGGTCAGAATTGTTTATAGTATAAGTACACTATATATCATTGAAAAACAATTTGACTTATGTTTATTGTGTGTAGCTATGTGTCAGAATTGTTTATGGTATATATAGACATATACCATTGGAAAACAATTTGGCACTAGAGCTCAATTGAGGTGCTCATATTGAACTTAAAGCCTAATTACTTATGGTATATTTATGAAGATTATACCATTGGAAAGTAATTAGACAATTGAATTAGAAATTCATTTGAATTACTTGTGGTATATCATGTTACATAGATGAAATGTCATTGGTAAGTAATTAGATGAGAATTCCATTACTGATATGCATCTGGATTACTTATGATGTCTCAAGTTGCCTTGATCAATACCATTGGTAAGTATTTAGATGATATTTTTAATAAAATCTGAATTATTTGTGGTATGCTAATGGAGTGAGATCATACCATTGGTAAACAATTAGATACATATAGGGGTTGGCAAGTTCAATAAGTAAAATACAAGAAAAATAAATGGGCAGAATTGTGGGGGAGAAGAGCTAGCCGTTGTTTCGGCTTCTATCTCAAGACCCTACAATGAGATGTAAACCTATCCATAAGACAAAAGTGGGAAAGTGAAACGAAGTCATACTTGAAAGTACGAAGGTTTCCAATGAGAAAGTGGAAGTCTTAAACCTTGTGGAGTTAACCCGGTCCATGGGTATAACTTTTGAGTAAAACCTAGCCTATGTTAACATTAATGTCAGAGAGCTAGTTTAAGAAATTCGACAAAGATTTCATAGAGATGTCAAACACTCTTTCCAAAGAAAAAAGACTATGTCAACCATATACATGCAAGTATATGAACAACATTCCCCTAACCGGAAACGTTGGTTTCAACAACTATGGTGAAATAGTTGAAATGTGGGGGGATATATTGGAAAGAAGTGATGTGGAATGTCACTTTGGTGATTCCAGTTGAAGTGATACTTAGGAGTTTTGTGTAAACCCTAAGCTAACCCGTCAATGTCACTACATTTAAAGAGATACTTGTGCATTTCAAGTACTCTAAGGTAAATGAAGTGGAGAGACTTCAACACCATTGTCATGTGTTAAGATTATTGCAAGGCAATAAAATCAAATCAACCACACGTGATGTGTAGTGAATCAAAGAGACGAGTCTTTCGGGTATTTTACCCAAAGGAACTCACCGGGTGAACCAAAAGCCATAGTTCATTAATGGATAGACATTTATGGTTAACGGGGAGCAGTATCTTCGAAAACGTCCAAGTTAAACTGTAAGACCGGTTAAGTTCAATAGTCTGGCCCGCAAAGATTGGCGTTAATAAACGCACTTGTGCACAAAGTTGTTATTGCAAGGGCTATAAGTGTTATATGAGAATCTCGTCATAGAAACATAACATTATTGATTGATTATCTTCTAGCAAAGTTATCGGAGATGATCATTAAGATCAAATGATAACAAACATGGGGCCCAGCTAGAAATTAATTAAAGCATCGATCAAATGATAACAAACATGGGGCCCAGCTAGAAATTAATTAAAGCATCGAAGGGAATGGATTCGTGGCCTAGGACAAATCATCATGGCGGTAACTCTACCTAAGCAGGATTGGCAGACCCAACCTCTAGGTTCAAGGAGCAAACAAAGTTGTGAATGATGATCCGACATTGTCAAATTATTCAAGTTCCATTCTCATGATGAGACAATGTCCAACTATAAGGGTAAACCTAAAGATGGAAGGTTTTTAATGGTTTCTAAGTTTGACACGGGATGTGGTCAAGTAGTGTATTTTCGGAATACATGTTTAGAAATCACCTATGTGAGTGTGAAGTGGAGCCGCTTCAAGGAGAATAAAAGAAGGCCAGTTCTCTAAGCACTCATGAGACCAGGCGGTGTTCATGGCTAAAACAAACACAACAATGAGAACCAGTGAACGGATAAGAGCTAGTTGTGTGACATATGTGTCTTAGTATACAAGCAAAACTGACGGTTCAAAGATATCACATCTACCGATTGGTGAGTATACTCGATATATGTTCACTAAGGAAGGTTCAAAGGGAAACCTACCTACCCCGATGCAACTAATTCTTAGTTGAGAATCACACGAATTTTTGCATAGTTTTTAAACTACAACATTCTCCATTCATGTGGGAGATTGTTGGGATTTTTAGTGGTGTGAATGGAAATTAAAGGGGAAAGATCCAGGAGAGTCTCTTGAAGTACCATGTTGGTAAGATGTGGGAAGGCATTACCTCGAATTCGATCGATTTAGTGTAATATGAGGTTAATTGGTTAAATTGGTTTGTGTAACCAAATGAACCAAACCGAGTTGACCCAAATTGAACCAAACCGATGAGGCAGTTGGAATAACCAAACCTGTCCAACTAACTTGCACCGAACCGATGCAATGGTTCATTATTTTAAAATGAACCAATGCGTTGGTTGGGGGTGTAACCACCCATATGAAGAGTTGCCTCCCTTCAATGCACCCCTTCATTTACTATAAATAACACCATACCCCCTCTAGTTTTAACTACGAGATATAGATGGATTTTTCCGGTACCAAAACTCTGCTAAATCCAAAACTAGTTTTTTGTGCATTCTTTTCAAAGAGAAAATAGAGTCAAGTATGGTTCTAGCCGGTTCGCTGCTTTCGATGGTTTCCGAGGTTTGAGGTACCGCTACGCCGGAAAATGTACGTCCTATCTATCCTAGGAGGAATCATTCCATAACCTTGGGTA